TCAGTTAATTTGCATATCTCCCTGATTAGCCAATGGGAAGGGTAGCGATCGTACGCCAATTACCATGTTTCTCTTTTATTAGTGTAGATATAAATATATATTCATGTATTTTCTTTGATGCTTCAGTGATGAAATTGAGATGTACTATCAGAATATCTGACTCAAAGATCCTGGGACTAATCTTCTGAAGTCAAGATGAGGGCAGTGTTTTACATGCATTAAGAAATTTCTTCAAATAGCTATTTCCTCCCATTTCTTGACATCTTTAAGACTTGTAAAGGGTCCATTTTGATGTCTGTTTAATCAAAACCATTAAAGTGAATGGATTATTAACAAAATAAAAAAGTGCTAAATAGTGGCAGTCTGTAAGGAGACCCAGGAATTGGCCTTTACGCTGCTGCCATTGAGTGAATAATTAGGACCAATTCTGGGCTTCTGATATCTTAAGTGTCAAATGGAATATGATTTTAATTTTAGTTCAGTTGCTTATTCCTCTGTGAAGTATTTGCTGCTCCTATTGGGTTAAAATCTTCTTCTTAATGCTCTCCACCACCTCTTTTTTGCTTTGCTTTTAAAAATGTACTATTTTGGTCTTTACATTCTCAGGTAAAGTTATGATTTACATGCTTTCCTTTTTGGAGAAAGTAACTCATGGTGTTCTTATTTATCAAAATAAACTCGGTCACACTAAAGTTAAAAATTAACCCATAAATCTCAGTTTCTTAACCAACAAAAAACCTTATTTTCACCTAAACTGCTTGTCTGGTAGAAGTAGAGGTGCCCATTCAGAGGTTAAGGCTGAAAGAATCTATGCTACCTTCTAGGTTCATTACCTTGGAAATGAAGGTTCCTTTGCCAGTTTATAAATATGTTCACCTGCTAGTGACACATGGCATTTCTGCCCACATTCCATTGGCCAGAAATAGACACATGACTTCCCTGTGCAGCTGAGAATGTAAATGAAAAGCTGGAATATTTGATGAGTATCATCATCACTGTCAAAACTACCTCATTTATTCAACACTATTCTATTTCTCTATTAAAAGTCACATCCCCAAATTCTAGATGAAATATTTTAATAGACTCCAGAAAAAAATACCATGTTATCTTGAAAGGAACATTAACAATAATTATAGCAAATTTCTTGTCAGGATCCATGCTAGCAAAATGGCAATGTGCTAGAGGAAAAACAAAAAACAACTCTCAAACAAAAATTGAATGCTGAACAACAATATTCTTCATTATCTAAAAACTAATGAAGAATAAAAAGATTTCCACCAATAAATAATGAATCAGTTAATTCTAGAATTATTCTACAAGAAATGTTAAAAGAATATCTTCAGGGAGGAGTATGCAACAGGTCAGAAAACTAGATTCACACAAAGGAATGAAGGACATTGAAAATAAAGAATAAAAATCACCTTAAATTTATTTATCTGTATTTTTAATTACAAGGTTAATAAATATTGTTAGGGTTGCCAAAGGAGGAACACATGAGGCCAAAAAGGGTAAAGAATTATGAACTTACTAGAGGCCTGGTGCACGAAATTGCACTGGAGGAGCAGGGTGGTCCCTCAGCCCGGCTTGTGCCCTCTTGCAGTCCGGGACCCTTCTCTCCTTACTGCCTGCCTGCTCGCTGATCCTTACCACTCAGCTCGCTGCTCCTTAGTGCTGCCACAGAGACAGGAGAGGCTCCTGCCACCGCCACTGCACTCATCAGCCATGAGCCCAGCTTCTGGCTGAGCAGCGCGCCCCCTGTGGGAGCACACTGACTACCAGGGGTCAGTTCCTGCATTGAGCATCTGCCCCCTGGTGGTCAGTGAGCATCATAATGACCGGTCATTCTGCCTGTTGTTCTGCCATTCAGGTGATTTGCATATTAAGGTTTTATTATATAGAAGGATTAAGTCATCTGGAAAAAATGGTGCCAGCACCCAGGGACCAGGAGTCAGATGTTTTAAATGACTCTAGGTGGGCTTTTCTTGGCAGAGAATTCTCTGGGCACGTCCTGAGGGGAAAGATAATGGTTTTAGCAAGTGGAATGTGGTCTAAGCAAAAGGGAATGTCAGTTGTGAAGTGGCCAAAAGCTCAGTTCCCAGGAGCAGGGATGGTGATTCAATTATCTGATCAGACCTAACAAATATAAAGTAGTAACAATGTATTTGCTTATGAGATGTAAAAAAGTAAAATATATTACAATAATGCCTCAAAAAATGGAAGGGAGAAATTGGAAATATACTGTAATAAAGTCCTTACACTAGGACTTTATAGGCATAAAACAATATTGTTTGAAGATAGACTTGGGTTATGTAACAATGAATAGAGTGAATCCCAGGGTGACTACTAAAACATTTCATAAGGACTATAAATAAGTCAATAGGATATATACAATGCATTGTCAAAGACATGTTCAGAGGAGAGAAAGATGGCAGCAGACAGGATGGCAGTGAGAAAGAGAGTGTGAGTGAGTGAGAGAGCAAAAGGGGAGTGTGTGGACATGTAGGGTGTGTGTGAGTGAGGGACAGCTATACTCCACAGGACTGTCGGGGGCTGGTGGACCAGGCTCCCCTAGCCAGGCAGCCTCTACTGCTGCTGAAATCTCTCCTGGAACAGCTGGCTCTGCCACAGAGACCGCGTCATCTTGAAGGGGAGAGTGGCTGTGGCTGGGAGCCCAGCCTCACCTCCACCCGGGGAGACCTGGGACACCACCTGGGACCTACAGCCACGTCGGCCAGGGACCAGCTGCCATAGCTGTGAACCCACGAACACCGAGACTCCAGCCTCCCTGGCCACAGGCTCCTAAAAAGTTTGTCCAGAGGGAGACAAAATGGTGGCTGAATAGATGGACGGGTCTGGTGCCTTCTCAAGGAGCAGATGGAAGCAGCAGTTGAATTGAATAACATCCACCCAGACATGGCGAAGTAAACACAGCTGGAGAGACGATCCATGGACAGAAAGGTCAGAGCTAGCCGAGAAACCGGTGGGATCGGGGATCTGGGCTGGAGGGAGAAACGCGGGCAGCCTGGACTGCGCTGAACCAACACCACGTCCCTTAGGGACAGGGCAGTGCTTAACTGTGGAAGGGGGTCCACAGGGCTGCTGGCAGCCAGGGACTCTAGACCATGGGAGGCTACACCCAGAAAGGCAGCCTGAAATCTGCACTGGCCGCGCAGGGCTGGAGGGAGAGAGATGGGCAGCGATGTGGTTGCTCTGTCTTTATATTTTCCTTGCTTTTACTCACTAAACCCAGTGCATGGGGTCTTTCAATTACAAACACTCACCAAGGCTGCGGTGCAGGGGAAGGTGGTTTTGTGGAAGCTGGGGAGCAAAATAGGGAGAGATGATCAGGAAGCCAGCTCTGGGACAGTCTGTCCCTCCAACCCTGAACAGACAGTTTGCTCCTAAAGATCAGGCCCCTTCTAGCAGCACAGCCGCACCCAGCCTTGAGCTCAGCAGGGAAATGAGGATTCTAAATACCCCCAGGGAGCCCTTGGGGACTGGGTTGAGGGGCCATTTGGTCCCAGAAACTAATACAGAAACAGCACCACCTAAAGGCCATGTCAGAAATAGACGCCTGTGTAAATATGACTGAAAGCAGGCAGTCAAACAAAGCAGGTAGAGTGGTCCCTCCTGGGACCGAGGCTGTGGCTTCTGACACAAAGGGGCTGTGGATCACTGGGAGCTTCAACATGGTGCTGAAGATCTAGCAGAAAGCTGAGACATGGCAGACAGAACAGTGGAGAGGGGTCTTAGACCAGCTCCTATGGACATTAAATTTGCTCTGTCTTTATATTTTCCTTGCTTTTACTCACTAAACCCAGTGCATGGGGTCTTTCAATTACAAACACTCACCAAGGCTGCGGTGCAGGGGAAGGTGGTTTTGTGGAAGCTGGGGAGCAAAATAGGGAGAGATGATCAGGAAGCCAGCTCTGGGACAGTCTGTCCCTCCAACCCTGAACAGACAGTTTGCTCCTAAAGATCAGGCCCCTTCTAGCAGCACAGCCGCACCCAGCCTTGAGCTCAGCAGGGAAATGAGGATTCTAAATACCCCCAGGGAGCCCTTGGGGACTGGGTTGAGGGGCCATTTGGTCCCAGAAACTAATACAGAAACAGCACCACCTAAAGGCCATGTCAGAAATAGACGCCTGTGTAAATATGACTGAAAGCAGGCAGTCAAACAAAGCAGGTAGAGTGGTCCCTCCTGGGACCGAGGCTGTGGCTTCTGACACAAAGGGGCTGTGGATCACTGGGAGCTTCAACATGGTGCTGAAGATCTAGCAGAAAGCTGAGACATGGCAGACAGAACAGTGGAGAGTGGTCTTAGACCAGCCCCTATGGGACATTAAATACTCAGCTGAAGCAAATGAACTTCACTACTTCAGTTTAAAAAAAATTTTTTTTACTTAAGAAACTATTTTTTCTTTTATTTATTTTATTTTATTATTTTTAAGTACTATTATTATTCTAACCTTTTGTTGTTGTTGTTGTTTAGATTAGTGTTCTACATTCTATTTTTATTTTGTTTTATTTTTTTAATCATTATTTTACACTATCTCATTTTTTCCCTTTAGGCCAACCATTTCTTCCTAAATTCACCCTTTTTCATCCTGTCTCTCTTCTCCTGTTCCTGCTTTAGTTTTCCTCTCTCCTTTCTTTTTACTCCTTGCTAAAAATTGATCTTCTTTAACTGCTTTATTGACTCATTACTATTACAGCAGTCTCTATTTGTTTACTTGTATATCTAATTCCCACCCTCACCCCAAGTTCATGCACCCTTTTCTTTTCTCTTTCTTTGCTTGCCAATTTTTTTTTACTGTTGTTGTTGCTTTTTAGATAGTTTATTAGTTTGTTTTATTGTTTTTGTTATTTTTATGCTTTTGTTCTTCCTCTCCTAGCTTGTTAGCTTCTTCTACTGATAGCTTAAAGGATGTCTGACTGCTGGTTTAAGTCCAATCCCACAGAGATCAGGCCTAAACCGGCAGTTGAAAATCCCTCTCACAATCTGGGACTGCTGGCTCCTAACCACTCGCCTGCCTGCCTGCCTGATTGCCCCTAACCGCTTCTGCCTTCCAGCCTGATCTCCTCCTAACTGCTCCCCTGCCAGCCCTACCACCCCCAACTGCCCTCCCCTGCAGGCCTGGCCCCCACAACTGCCCTCCCCTGCTGGCCATCTTATGATGACAGGGGGGTAGCCATCTTGTGACAATGTGGGGACAGCCATCTTGTGGTGGCCATCTTGTGACTATGTGGTGGTGGCCATCTTGTGATGATGTGGTGGTGGCCATCTTGTGACAATGTGTGGACGGCCATCTTGTGGGGGCCATCTTGTGATGACATGGGGGTGGCCACCTTGTGACAACGTGGGGATGGCCATCTTATGATGATGCGAGGGTGTGAGGATCAACTTGCATATTACCTCTTTATTATATATAGTATATATAGAATATATATTTTAATTACTATTTTTATTATTTTTTATTATTATTATTACTTTATTATTTTTAATTGAATTTTGTTTTTTACTTTTCTTCTTATACACTCATTCTCTTTCTACCTCCTATATACTGAATCATGGCCATTCCCCTATTCATTCAATTCCTTTACCTTACTTTCTGGAAATAAGCTTTGCCTCTTCAGATTCAGCTCCCCTCCTTTTTTTTTCTGGGGGTTCCGTTTTGTATTTTTTGGTTTAGTTGTTGGTTTTGTGGAGTAATCCCCCCACATATGTATATTTTTTCTCTTTCTTTCTCTCCCCTTCGTTTTTCTTCATTTTCTTTTCTCTCTTACCTTTTTTTACTTTTCTCAATATCACTTTTGTGCTCTTTTCTCTCCCCTAGTTCTCTTTTCTCTGGTGGTCACCTTTATTTGGGGGTATCAGTGTCATGAATACATTTATGTTTTGTCCCCTCTATGTTGTGTCTTGTCGAGTTGTATTTTGCGCCTTTTGTTCAACGTGGTAGAAAGTGAGCCACATAACCAGACAATCTGAGAGGAGTGAAAATGGGGAGACAAAGAAACAGCCCCCCCCCACACACACACAAAAAAAGGAATCACTGGAAAAGGAGGTAAACGAAATAGAGGCAAACCATTTGTCAAAGAAAGAATTCAGAGCAATGGTCAAAAGGACCCTGAAAAGGATGGAAGACAAATTCAACAACATGTGTAAGAATCAAGAGGAAATAAAGAAGAACCAAGAAGAAATGAAGAATGCCATAGCTGCAAGAAATAATTCAACAGAAAGCATAAACAGTAGACTAGAAGAAGCTGAGGACCACATCAGTGAGCTAGAAGACAAGGTAGGAAAAAATGCCCAAGCAGAGCAGCAATTGGAAAAATAAACTTAAAAAAAACAGGAGAAGAGCCTAAGTGAGCTTTGGGACAACACAAAATGAAACAACACCCGCATAACAGGTGTACCAGAAGGAGAGGAAACTGAGCAAGGAATAGAAATCCTGATTGAAGAAATAATGACAGAAAACTTCCCTGAGTTTGGGAAGAAAATTCCAAGTCTTTTCTCTGGTGGTCACCTTTATTTGGGGGTATCAGTGTCATGAATACATTTATGTTTTGTTCCCTCTATGTTGTGTCTTGTCGAGTTGTATTTTGCGCCTTTTGTTCAACGTGGTAGAGAGTGAGCCACATAACCAGACAATCTGAGAGGAGTGAAAATGGGGAGACAAAGAAACAGCCCCCACACGAAAAAAAAAAAAAAAGAATCACTGGAAAAGGAGGTAAACGAAATGGAGGCAAACCATTTGTCAAAGAAAGAATTCAGAGCAATGGTCAAAAGGACCCTGAAAAGGATGGAAGACAAATTCAACAACATGTGTAAGAATCAAGAGGAAATAAAGAAGAACCAAGAAGAAATGAAGAATGCCATAGCTGCAAGAAATAATTCAACAGAAAGCATAAACAGTAGACTAGAAGAAGCTGAGGACCACATCAGTGAGCTAGAAGACAAGGTAGGAAAAAATGCCCAAGCAGAGCAGCAATTGGAAAAATAAACTTAAAAAAAACAGGAGAAGAGCCTAAGTGAGCTTTGGGACAACACAAAATGAAACAAC